CGGGGGGGGGGCCGCCCCCCGCCGCAGCCGGGCCCTGCCGCGGTCGCCCAACCCGCACTCGCCCCCGCTCGCCCCCCTCTCGCCCCGCTATTGCCCCCTCTGGCCCCGCTATTGCCCCCTCTCACCCCCTCTCTCGCCCCCTCTCGCCCCACCGTTAGCGGCGGTTCCGCTTTCCACACAGACGAAGGGCTCTCCTCCCAAACGGGTGAAGACACCCTTATTTTGGTTACCGGGCTCGCTTTTTGAGCGCAGCCTGCAAAATAACCCAAAAGACCTAGGGTCAGGAGTTGGTGGCTATCAGTGCCATCAATACCAGTGTAACTCACCAGGAGGATACTGATTTTTTTGTGTCTCAGTGCGTGCGTGAATTTTACCCACATAAACCTGCTGTTGGTATGAATGCTATTAACTTGACAATCAAAATGATAAATCAGGCAGATCAATCTAAAGGAAACGGAAGAGAAGCTAAGACTTGTATGGGTTTGCTTACTGCCTTCAATTTAAAAATCGATTTCTAGTATACACAAATAAAATTAATTTTCAGGTTTATAAAACCAAAATCACTGGAGGGTTTTACAAATAAAGATGTAGTTTGCATCTTTTCTTTTTCCTATTGTATCTGTGACACCTAAATAAGCAAGTCAATGGCTTTTAGTTACAAAGATTAGCAACTGTCAAAAAGGTTTGGAGACACAATTCAAATAAGCTGTCCAAAATTCACATTAATACCTGTCTGCTAAATCTACATTGCACAAGGTAAGTCACACCTGCATTGAATTTATCATTATTGCTTTAGCCCCTCTTTGGTTAGTGAATTGATCCTGTTGTTATTTCAGGTCTGTTTGTCATTTGTGAGAAAAAATTGGATGAAGTATCTTCAAGTCAGGATTGTTTGTGTGCAGGTCACTGGGCTGCTCGCCCTTCACAGTCCATGGCCCGTGATGTGCTCTCGGCCACCTCTGTAATCTCCAGCTGGATAACAGAAGCCTTCCAGGTAAGAGAACAGAAAGAATGAGAGAAAAAAATCATAGTATACTTCTGGTGTGATGCTTTTCAAAAATGTTTTATTCCTTTGGCACAATGTATTTTGTGCTTCCTCGAATTTTGAGATCAGCAGCTATTTCTGTGTATAATCACTAGTCTTTGATCAAAGACAGAACGCCCTACATGTTTCTGTATCTCAGCCCACTCCGTGTTAAATGAAGACAACAATACTCCCCTTCCCAATCTGTTGGTGTGCTCCAGTGACGGGGATTACGGTCCCTCTTGGCACAGTGTGTTCGGGTCTCTCCGACTCTGCTGGACCCCATTGCAGTGCTCTGGCACTGGCACCAATTGCCACCTGCTGCAGGACAGCAGAGCAGGTGTGTCTGGGTGTGTAAAGGGGAGGTTGGAGCAGGGTGTCTGCAGTTTCAGAGGGTTTCTTGCCTCCCAGAGCACATAGGGTGGATGGGGACAAGTTCAGACAGAACTGCTCACGGACTCTCCTGGTCTCTGTCCCGTGAGGCTGAGCCTCGTTGCGAGGGCACAGGATGCCTTGAGTTGAAGTTATGTCTGAAAAGTCCTCCATGGGCTTCACCTGCACACAGCCCATCCTTCCTCCATAACCAGCTGGGTGTCCAGTGCTGAGGATGGGGTCAACTACTGATCAGATGCATCAGCCCCTTATAAATCGCTAAAAGTGATGTGGCTGGAAGCCAAACAGCAGCCAAAGGACCGTGCTGCTAACCCTGTAAAGTTCTGCAACCTTCCTGCCAGTTTGTGAGCAAGTGTGGCCTGTATTTCTTCTGCCTCTGTGGCAAAAGATCCAGTAATTCAGAAAGGGGGTGCTGTGGCCTTGCAAAAAAGACACTTATCCATACCTGACAAAAAATAATGACATCAAGAGACAATTTTCCCTGGCCTTTTGCTGTGCTTGTACCCAGCCAGTACTGAACAGCATCCTTGAGCTCTAGGTAGTTCAGCAAAATAAACAGGCTATCTGCAAAAACTGTATACGCTGCTTTTTCAACTAGATGAGAAGTGAAGATATGCAATATAGCAATTTTTAACTTCTGGTTGCAGCGTTGGAGAATGCAGTCATAGTCTTTCATAGCCTGTGTATTCAAGGACGTCCTTCTTTTTGCTTCTTTTTCTTTCTGTTGTGTGATTATTAGCAACAATGCAAAGCCATATGTTAGTTGCCATGGTGGAGAGGCTGCTCCCATAACCGTCTGAGCAGAGCACATTCTAAACATTGCAGTCTGGAGCCCAAAATACCCCAGCAGTAACAGAATCCTTTCTCCAAGTGGTTGCCAGCACTCTCTCCTGCTGAAGACCCCTAGGACGCAGTCCTTTTTAGCATACTTCCTTCAAATGCAGCCTCACATCCGTTGTTCAGATATCATGTGTGCACATTTGTCTCGAATTAGCCTGCACAGTGACTTTTTAGTGACTCGAAGAGAAAAAGAATCTGTCCTTCTACCAGTGGAAACCAAAAAGGAAGTTTTATATATATGTATTGGTAGGCTTCCAGTACTTCACACTACCAAACCATGAAGACAGCTGATGTAGAGCCTAGATTAGGAATAAAAATAAACACAGAAGATGTGCTGCCCTGCATAGTTTGGATGGCTCCAATTTTTGAAATATATATTTAAAAACCCCAACAGTTAGATCTGAATTCTTAATAAGGACCCTGGGCAAAATGTAAATGTCATTAACGTAGACTAACTCAACAGAAGTGAAATTGTACTAGTGCAGGCTTTACTCTCAAGAGGGCTTTCAAAACCCAACTCCTCTGGTTAACTGTTAAGCTGAGCTGGAGATGGAGTCAATAGTATTTAAAACCAGCTTCGCCAAACTGTCAGGAAAAGTTACTGGTCCAAGTCCAAAACCTATTCCCAAGCGCTTTTTACCCCACTGCACTGACGGGGAGGGGGTGGAAGAAATGGAAGGTTTGGTGGCAGAGCGGGATGGCCTTTGGCATCACTGCCCCTGCCCCCCTGTCCCTGCCTGGGCCATGGAGCTCCCCTCTCCCTGTGCCACCCACCCTGGCGCTTCCCAGCCCCTCAGCTCCCCCGAGCTGGGGCAGTCGGGGCTGCATCTGTGACCCTTCGTGTCACACAAAGGAGAAACAGGCCCCGCGGCCACGTTTGCTGTGTGAAACTTCCCCTTAAAGTCTTTGTGCCTGTTCCTCTGGGTATTTTCTTCAGCTCGCCTCTTGTATCACTTCTTACACTCAAGAGCTGGCATCCAGTATCTTCGCTTTCTAAACAGAAAATAGCTCATTACTTGTGTTTTTGCCTCTGATTGCTAGTTAATGAAATTTGTTCCAGCTTTAACATTGCTGCAATGAGCTACAAAGGACCATTTGTCCGGACTCCCTGGGCCAGGCTCGCTTCTGCTGCAGCTCACAGACGGCGCAGTTATCCAGGAGACTGCAAGAATGCAGTCAAGAATGATGCAAAAATGGGTAAAAGCCAAGGCTCATCAATCTTTGGAGCTGTGCTGTTACATGTGTATTGCACTGTGAGCCACGTAGCTCCAACACATTACCATATGGAGCTGTTTGGTCACTTTATAGGGCCTTGTGCCTTTGGAAAAGTAACTACAAACTTTAAGGTGCTTGTGTCAAACGAAGCAGTAGTGTGATTGCAGGCTGTGCTGTTAAACGAGGTTGTAGCTGAGAGCTCTGTGGTGTATTTCTTTTCCATCCCACCAGCTTCCCTTCCCTGTGCTTTGAAAAAAGGGCCTTTGGGGTGCTATTTTTGTCATCTGTCCTCTGCTATGTAATTCACACAACTCCAAGGGCACGGTTCAAGAAACCAAAGCCATTTTGCAGCACGTCCCAAATAATGTAAAACCAACGACTGTTAAATGTTGG